TGTATACTAATTACGATTTTTTAAAGCAAAAATTAAAATTTTATTTTTAATTTTATTTCAATAAATGATACAACAGAATATGAATTTTGGTTGTAAAATTTAAAATATTTTATATTTTATATTTTATATTTAATTGAAGTATTTTTTGTCTAAGTATAATATTTTAAATTTAAAAATTCTAATAATTATATACCTACAAACTTTAGAGGAGTTTAAGTGTAATTTATTAATAGATATATTTACAACAGGGGTCTAAGTGTTACGTGCGTACAAACCTCAGAAGGTATGTATATAATATTTCAAATGTCAAAGAGTTTGAATAATTAAGTGACAAATTTCAGGGAATCTGAGTGTTATTTTCTCCAAATTTTACCATCAAGAGGGAAAAGAAGTCATGCTCAAATTTTACCCGCCTCTCTAGATTTCTCCAAATTTTACCCGCCTCTCTAGATTTCTCATTGTGACTTCAGTTTTTAGTCAGTCAAATTGATAGACTACAAGTTATATAAATGACATGGTTGAATGTTTTGGTCATTCTTAATCCTTCCATTGAAGAGATTTTAAGGATGTTAATTTTATTACGTTTTTTTTTTGGGTACATTAAAAAAAAAAAAAAAAAAAAAAACTCCAACAGAACCTCCTCGTGCACACATATTGATCTAATCTACTATTCCTATTGAATTTACAATTAGTCTCATTTAATATTAAGATCGTTGCTAAACGACTATTGTAGAATAGATCGACAAGTTTAATCACTAAATTAAATTTAATAAATATATTCTTTCTTTTACATGTTTTTGAAATTTGACCGACATAACTGATACATTGTAAGGATGATGAAAATTTGTGAGAGAATGAGCTGAAATGTAGGTGGTCACTATTCTACCGATACTAGGATGACGACGAGGGTCTTATGGGAGAAAGAAGGTCATGATCTGTAATAGAATATGAATACTCCGTGGAACAATGGCCTAACCCCACAGATTAGTCGTTTAGTAGTCTTATGGTCTGTCATGCCAAACAAAACATTATAAAACAGTTATTCAATGGTCCAGGTGGGCCGGTGGACCGGATTGGGGCTAACCATAAGATGTATCCAAGAGTGCAGCCTGTTTAATTCACCATGAGTTACACCCCTACATTAATAAAAGATTTTTTTGTTGCGGGTATAATATTTTATACTTATTTGAGAAAAAGTGTGTTTGTTACACTATTTTTATTACACTATTATGGAGTTCGGATATTAATAAATTTTAAAATTCAAACAAGTGATATATTTTAAAATAAACGAAATATTAAAATTCTCCTATAAAATTAATAGTAGTAAATATTTAATGCATAAATATAATTTAAAAATAAAATCACTTTTCAAAAAAAAAAATATGCATGAATTAAGGTGCATTAAATGAATCAAGATTTTGAATTAAACGACTCTAAATTTTGACGCATAATAAATGTTTTGTTAAAGTTTTTAGGAAAGAAAATTTTACAAAATAGGTATTTACGTCTTTATATGTCAGCTGCGTATTTTTTTTTCAAAATATTTTGTTTTATGTATTTTTTTATAAATAAGTCTAATTAGATGTACCGGCTTTTAAAGAACCCAAAACAAGAAGTGGGCACTCCAAGGAGCCCAGTCATTCTGCTCAGCCCAATCCAGATACTTATTCCTAACCCACAGCCCATTTGACAAACGCCAAAGAATATTTGGTGAATTTCGTATTCTCCAAGTAAAATCAAAAGTTAATAATAAATAGGGGGAATCTCAATTTATACCCTAATAGATTTAAAAAAAATTCAGTGTAGACCTACATTAAAAATTAAAATTTTCATATTTTACCTTAATGTATTAAAAATATTACAATACAACTCTTTCATTAACTATCATTGCTGATTCCGTAAAGAATCACATCATTGACATTGATAGAATAAGAAATAGAATCTACTAGGAGGGCCATTTTGTAAAAATATAATTTATGAGAGTACAAAATAGAAAATTTTAAAACTTTTGAATACAAAGTGAAATTCGGTCTAATAAATCCTACAAGTTTTAGCCATAAAACACAATTGGAGAGAGTCGCTTCCGAAAACCCTACATCTCACTCTCTGTTAGACACTCTCTCTCTCTCCTGCCTACCGCGGCTAGGGCTTTTCGTGAAGCTCCCTGCGCAGGTTCCCTCTCTCTCTCTCGATCTATTTTTATGCATAGACTCATCGATCTACATATCTGTAGGTGTTACTTTGTGTTTCTTTCTTTTGTTTTGGGTGTCTTGCATGAAACTAACACTGTTTCATGTTTATTTTTTTCTGTGTTCGATCTGTGAGTCAGTTTTGTTTTTATCCTTATTTGTTTATTTATTCTGCTCAAATTATAGATCTACTTCTATCTTTGTCTTGGATGTGAATCCGTTACGTTCGAGTAGGAATATTTGGTATATCTCTACCGGAAATTTAACTATGTATATTGAAAATTATCTTTCTATCAATATCTATCTTGATTCTGTTGGACTAAAATTAGACAGAGGTAGTTGAATTCCCTTTATTACCACCACACAACATATATGCGATAAAGGACTTAAAAATCACTTTGGTATAGATATTTAATCTGTGTGTTATGTTTGGATAATATACTTGTGTGTATGAATTTATTGAACTTTTAGTTGATCGGTGGTGAACCTGATTAATGTACATCCGTTATTGTTGTCATTATGATTAGTTTGTATTGAACAATTTTGTATTGTTTTTACTATTGAAGAAGACTTGCCTTTCGGACTTGAATAGATGTAGAAAGTGTACTAATTTGTAGAAAATTTCTGTCCATATTACATGTGAAGCATTATGTTTAAGAGCAACTCCAATCCTCATCAGCAAAATGGTTAGTTAACATATATTTAAATATTGTATTCTCTATTTTAGCTAATCACTTTTACAAATTCACTCAAACCACGTTCTCTATTTTAGCTAATTATTTCAATTAACTTTAACTAATTTTTAATAATATAATTTAAATATTCAACTCAAAGCATGTATAATCATCAACCCAACCAAAATCATACCATAATAATAATTCTAATCAAACTTTAAATAATACAACTTAATGACAATTTAACACCCATCCACTTTAAATGACAAAAATCAATTGCACAATATGTCTTATAAATCTAAGATTTTTTCAAATACTTGCATTAATATTTTATAGGGTCTAAATATAAATATTCTATTATACATAAATGAAGAAGAAAGTGCCAGCAAGAAGTTTGGTGAACTTCTTCTCCCTCTCCAAATCTGGCGAGCATGAAGGGTCTCCTACATTTAAGCGAGTAGGATGGCTAGCCGTTTGGAACGAATTTTTGAGAGCTTGTCTCAGCAAAATAGCTAAGAATGTGGATTTAGCTAGTTGGTTGGAGTTGCTCTAATTAAACGGTGTATTGTTTTGATGCTTTTTCATGGGAGTTCTGTTGTTTCTCGTTTCGTGTTATGTGCATATCCCAATTATATTTTCAAAATGAAGCATTGGAAGCTAACTATTGAATGATCCAAAGATTCTATGAGTGCAGTTGTTGAGTTTTCCTATATATCTATCACTAGAGTGAATTTTGTAACAGTGTGTGGATGTTTATGAAAAGTAGTTTTGTTTGTTGTAGACTTGTAGTGAAATTTTTTGTAGTCATCTTGTGGTTGAATATGTACGGCATTGTAGTCCATCTCTCATATAATGTCTTGAGTAATCCAACATTTTTGGTTTCAATGTCTGTCATTGATTCAGCAAGGGGAAAGAAAAGATTAGGTAAGATTTTTCATGTTGTCATGTTTTGTTGCCCATGGAAAAAAGAAGTAAAAACATAATGATGGGTAGTAGAAGGGTATTGTTTTACTAAACATGACAATAGTTTTCCTTTTCTTTTTCATTATAAGAGTTAAATTGTACAAATACTGTGTGGATATAATTCTGAGAAAAGTTGTTCGATATTTGTGTTACAGTTCCTAGCTATTCTAAATGGGTAAGGAGAAGGTGCACATCAGCATTGTGGTCATTGGCCATGTCGATTCTGGCAAGTCAACCACCACTGGTCATCTCATATACAAGCTTGGTGGTATTGATAAGCGTGTGATTGAAAGGTTTGAGAAAGAAGCTGCTGNCAATTGCACAATATGTCTTATAAATCTAAGATTTTTTCAAATACTTGCATTAATATTTTATAGGGTCTAAATATAAATATTCTATTATACATAAATGAAGAAGAAAGTGCCAGCAAGAAGTTTGGTGAACTTCTTCTCCCTCTCCAAATCTGGCGAGCATGAAGGGTCTCCTACATTTAAGCGAGTAGGATGGCTAGCCGTTTGGAACGAATTTTTGAGAGCTTGTCTCAGCAAAATAGCTAAGAATGTGGATTTAGCTAGTTGGTTGGAGTTGCTCTAATTAAACGGTGTATTGTTTTGATGCTTTTTCATGGGAGTTCTGTTGTTTCTCGTTTCGTGTTATGTGCATATCCCAATTATATTTTCAAAATGAAGCATTGGAAGCTAACTATTGAATGATCCAAAGATTCTATGAGTGCAGTTGTTGAGTTTTCCTATATATCTATCACTAGAGTGAATTTTGTAACAGTGTGTGGATGTTTATGAAAAGTAGTTTTGTTTGTTGTAGACTTGTAGTGAAATTTTTTGTAGTCATCTTGTGGTTGAATATGTACGGCATTGTAGTCCATCTCTCATATAATGTCTTGAGTAATCCAACATTTTTGGTTTCAATGTCTGTCATTGATTCAGCAAGGGGAAAGAAAAGATTAGGTAAGATTTTTCATGTTGTCATGTTTTGTTGCCCATGGAAAAAAGAAGTAAAAACATAATGATGGGTAGTAGAAGGGTATTGTTTTACTAAACATGACAATAGTTTTCCTTTTCTTTTTCATTATAAGAGTTAAATTGTACAAATACTGTGTGGATATAATTCTGAGAAAAGTTGTTCGATATTTGTGTTACAGTTCCTAGCTATTCTAAATGGGTAAGGAGAAGGTGCACATCAGCATTGTGGTCATTGGCCATGTCGATTCTGGCAAGTCAACCACCACTGGTCATCTCATATACAAGCTTGGTGGTATTGATAAGCGTGTGATTGAAAGGTTTGAGAAAGAAGCTGCTGAGATGAACAAGCGTTCGTTCAAGTATGCCTGGGTGTTGGACAAGCTCAAGGCTGAGCGTGAGCGTGGTATCACCATTGACATTGCGTTATGGAAGTTTGAGACCACCAAGTACTATTGCACTGTCATCGATGCCCCGGGCCATCGTGACTTCATCAAGAATATGATCACAGGAACTTCCCAGGCAGATTGTGCTGTGCTTATTATTGACTCCACCACCGGAGGTTTTGAAGCTGGTATCTCCAAGGATGGCCAGACTCGTGAACACGCCTTACTTGCTTTCACCCTTGGTGTTAAGCAGATGATCTGTTGCTGCAACAAGGTTTGCTTATTTGTACATCAGTTTTTACAACTTTTGTTTACAAAGCAGCATCTATAATCTGCATGAAAGAGCACCAGATCTGGAAGTGCTATCTGCTTTTAAACAATAACACTCAATGATAATGTAATCTTTTGTTACCATTTTTGCATTCTAATGTTATGGTGATCCAATACCATTATTCAATTGCACTGTCGTGGTTGTAGGCTCTGTTGTTATTGGGTAATATTCCTTTGATTGTGATGATTGTTTAATTTGCATCCTTTTCCCTTATAGATGGATGCCACTACCCCTAAGTACTCCAAGGGAAGGTACGATGAAATTGTGAAGGAGGTCTCATCCTATTTGAAGAAGGTGGGATACAACCCTGACAAAATTCCATTTGTTCCCATCTCTGGATTCGAAGGCGACAATATGATTGAGAGGTCCACCAACCTTGACTGGTACAAGGGCCCAACACTCCTTGATGCCCTTGATATGATCGTAGAGCCCAAGAGGCCCTCTGACAAGCCCCTTCGTCTTCCACTCCAGGATGTTTACAAGATTGGAGGCATTGGAACTGTCCCGGTGGGACGTGTTGAGACTGGCATCATCAAGCCTGGAATGGTCGTTACCTTTGGCCCAACTGGACTTACCACTGAAGTTAAGTCTGTGGAGATGCATCATGAGGCCCTCCAGGAGGCTCTTCCTGGTGACAATGTTGGATTCAATGTGAAGAATGTTGCTGTTAAAGATCTCAAGCGTGGATTTGTTGCATCAAATTCAAAGGATGATCCAGCCAAGGAGGCTGCCAACTTCACATCCCAAGTTATCATCATGAACCACCCTGGTCAGATTGGCAATGGTTATGCCCCAGTTCTTGATTGCCACACTTCACACATTGCCGTCAAGTTTGCTGAAATTCTTACCAAGATTGACAGGCGCTCTGGGAAGGAGCTTGAGAAGGAGCCCAAGTTTTTGAAGAATGGTGATGCTGGTTTTGTTAAGATGATCCCCACCAAGCCCATGGTGGTTGAGACTTTCTCCGAGTATCCCCCACTAGGTCGTTTTGCCGTCAGAGACATGAGGCAAACCGTTGCTGTGGGAGTCATCAAGAGTGTGGACAAGAAGGAACCTTCAGGAGCCAAGGTCACAAAAGCTGCCGCAAAGAAGGGTGCCAAGTGAACCGAGCAGGTTCTGCCTTTACTCAAAGGCTTATATTTTAATCTTATGAAAGACTTGGTTTTTGTTGTTTGTGCGTGTCTTACTGGGGTCGGTTTCATGTTTTCACCTCTGTCAGGCACCTGGTCTCAGAACTGGGTGCTTGACCGGCGGTGGCGAGCCTATTTTCTTGGTTTTCTACTGTGTCCTCTGTTATGTTAAAACTGGATTGCTGTGTCTTTAATTTTCCATAAGCAGCACAGCGTTTTAGTTCTCTGTTCCTGTGTTGCTCATACGTTTTCTATAAAAACATTAGTAGTGTTTCTATACTAGTCTTGTTTTTCCCTTGAGGTTCATCATCACCTCATGGAATCAGACATAGCCGAAAGAGGGATCTGTTATGCTTGTCACAGATGAATTGTCCCCTTTCCCCAACACACACACATACAAAGAAAAAAAATTTCTAAGAATATTGTGTTTATTGGAATTTGACTGCGTTCAAACGATGTGCTGTTTTGCTGTGCTGAAAATGTATACTTCTACTCTCATCCTATATTTGTCATCTACGAAAAAATCCAGGCAGAGTTCTTCACAGGATTTCATTAGTGGAGCTCTGCCCATTGTGGAAGGATTTGGTAACAGCTATGTTGCTGGGAACCATGGCAATGACAGGAAGCTTTTTGAGGGTGTCATTTGAACGCATTTTGGTCGCAAGAGCTGCTACTGCTGCTTATTGTGATCGCGTTCTTGAATTACGGAACAGAGGCCAGGCCAAAGACGAATTACCATTTGGCAATTTCTCTTGTGAATGCACTAGCCTTGTAATATGACTACTTATACACGACTAATTTGATGCAGTGTACCTTTCTACGCAGGCTGTTAATTGGAAAATCAACCATACACTGCTTAATTTAAAGTTAACCTCGCCAGAAAAAAAAATAACACATTCCACCTAGAAGAAGAAAAAGAAAAGGTTAATTACACTTAGTTTTGACTAGAAGTACCTTTCATACTTTTAAAATTATGTACATTATCTCTTTATTTATGTACTAAAATAAAATGATTACTTTTATCATTAAAATTAATGGAGAATGTGCCCTACACGTTCAAAATATGTTATGAATTTTGTTTTTATTGTTTTTTTCTAAAAGAACATGGTTTAAGTATTTAAAATACCCTTTATAATATATGACATAATATTCAAATAGGTAGGATATCGATCCCAAATTAAAAAAAAAAATGTAAGAAAAATATAAGTGATTTTTGGTCCCGGATCAAAGCTTCATTTGAGGTAAAAAGAGATTCAACATGTTTAATTAAAATGTGTTGATTTTTTGTCATGTTTCATTAGTTTTATAGTCAAGTGTAGATCAGACAAAAAGTTTAATTTTAAAGTGAGTATTATGATAAATTTTTTAATTTCGTTAACGGCGTCAATTCGAACTGAACTACTCGAACTCAACTAGTTTTTAGCTCGTTTGGAAAACAAGCACAACAAGTTTGGCTCGAATTCGACAAATTTGACTCGTTTATATACGAATATTCGGGTTCGGCTCTGATACGGCTCATTTTGAACTCATTCAAAACGAGCTGAACTTGAACAATTTTTTAGACTTAATTAAGAAAACAAATTTTTTAGGCTTGACTCAAACTCGTTCGAGATCGTTCGACTATCAACCTAGCGTCAATTATTTTACTTTTGGTACATAAGATAATGTACATAATTTTAAATATTAAATAAGTAAGGCGTTTCTAACCGAAACAAAAGGTTAAGAAAAAAACAATTAACCCAAAAAGAAACCAACAAATCAAGATGTTGCAAACTGAGTCGATCAGCTCAATATATAAATGCATTGTTTGCAGAGCATCTTGAGCCCTGAAAAAAATAAAGTATCACCAAATCTTGGGCATGTAAAGTTCAAACAAAGAACTAATATTTATTGTCTCGAACAATTAAAATCTAATGTCTCATTGATTTCCCTCAACCCAATTCCACCAAATAAACAGAAAATAAAAAGGATAAAACAAAATGCTGTTAAAACCTCAAACAACCGGGCTAATCACGAGCCCTAATGTATAACGTAGACTATCTTCATAACATTAAACCTTCCAAGTTACTCGCAGCAAGAGGTCCTGATCACAAGTTCTTGAAAGCTGACTCTGGTGCTTGCCGTGGGGTTAGTTTCGCCAACAAAGCCTTGTTATGACAGTGCTCAGCATCAACAAAGTAGAAATTCCCATTAGCCTTAAAGGTCACAAAAGGCCTGTTGGTCTCTGGTGGCCTGATATCAGCAAACTTAATCGTCTTCGGAATATATGTTGCCAGCCAAGACAGCATCTCCACCTCGAAGCTGTCTGAACCAGGCTGCCATCTGAGCTTATGAATATATGGGCTAACGAACCAATGAAGGGCCGCGGTGGTAGAAGCACTGAAGAATATAACTGTTGATGCAACTGCACCCTTCAGGATGACATTTAGGCCAGGAGATGTCATGAAGGTTATCACAGGGCCTAAAGACACGGAGAGGCAGCAGGTGGAGAGAGAGAGAAGCTTCACTTTCTTGATAGTGTTGGAAATTGGACCATAGTAAATGACCCCGGTGTCTTTTTCATCGTCCCCAGATGCTCCCCCTTTACGAGGTCCTATGCTGATCTTGCTGTTGTCGTCTGCTGTAGATTGAGATGCCCATCTTTTCTGGGAAGCCGTAAGTAGTGTGGCAGAATAGTTGTGGGTTCTGGCACTTGGTGTATGCACCCACGTTTCAAACCTACCAAAATGATGACCTGAAGCAGTAAACAATTGGTAATCATTGGAATAATAATTGAAATTGCACTGTTCAATTGTCCTCTGACTGAGGTAGTCAGCACAATGACAAACTCTAGAATTTTTTAAGAGTCGAACAGACATTTAAAAAGAATAACAGTTGGGATATATGACGCACAACCCAAATACAGTCTAACTAAATGAAGTTTGTTTATCAGTTAAAGACTAGAAAACCAAGAAATAATCCAAGTAACTTTCCGGAAGAAATAATCCAAGTAAAAAGCTAATCACGACCCACAGTATATAAATCAGGGTTCCCTTTTCTTCATCATTTTTTATAATAACAAGAAATAAAGTAACCATAAGTTAATCCAAGCTTGTTCACTGATCACACTATTTACAACTTTACATTCTCAATTATAATGACCAGCAATTAATAAAATTTGTTTTTGGAAATGTCAAGAGATTCCAGGCCTGCGATGAACAAATAAGAGACTTGCTCCATTAATTCAAGCCAGCCAATCAATCACCCAGGGACTAGTTTAGGAGTAGTATTTTTGTAAATTGGGTGAATAATATATTAAAAGAATGACCAGATTTGACCTTGTCAGAGCACCTTAAGACCTAGAAGGCTAAAACCATCACAGTTACATTGCAAGGTTCAATGGCTTCACAGGATGAAATTTCTTTCCATTTTTGTGACATTCCTGGTGCAACCAAAGAAAACCTATCAATTTGGCACAACCAACAAACTGTAGCTCTGTATCAAAAGAGCATCAGAGATTATGGCATTATGACATGTACTTATCTTTTCTGGCTCAAAGTAGGAAATGCAACAACTTATCATTTCTCCCAAAACCATAAAGAAAATGACCATTTGATATTCCACTCTAGGGTTGTCCAAATGAACTGTGGCACAATAAAGTCCTATAGCCATGGCAGGTAGATTACAATAATTAAAAATGATCAAAAATGTATGGACCTGTTTTAATGGAGACTCAGAGTAGGCCTAGTCACATAGAAAGGCGAAAGAAAGAATATCGTCCATGGCTACCACAATTCACTAAACCTTTAATGATCCACGATCTGAGTACATCAACTCCAAACGAGGTGGTCACCAAAATGGATGATCTCAAATTGTAGTACTAACCCTAAATCAATTCGCTTTAAAACATATAGCACAAATATAAAATACATATAAATGGACTACATGTATAGAGATTTATAATTATATATTATTTTAGATAATATAAAATCAAGCATAATTAAAAGATAAATGATAACTAACTTAGTGTTTATGAATGTTCTGTAATATATAAGAATTTTAAAATGAATTGCGACCCAAAATACCGTACCAACTAAACCTACTCCATCGTATCACGTACCTAAAAATGTGCCGTACAATGTACCCATACCCGTACCAAAGCAACCCACGATCCAAGTAACATTGATATTGCCAAAAAATTATCAAACTTAGTGGACCTTTCAGTTGGCTTATCTGTCTGAATATCGGTAGGATTGCTTCAATCAACAGCAATGGAAATATAGTATGGGGTATATAGCAAGTGAGAGAAGCTTTCAGACATTTTTATATCATACACCAAAACAAATTTTGCTACTTATCAAAAAATAGTTATTATCATATTAACATGTCCAATCTCAGAATTTCATTAAGCCTCGTGACTTATATTGTATACACAACTTTATCATACAAGCTTGTAGAAAAAGCACGCACACATATGTTGATGCCAAACTCGAACACAAGGAAACAAATAAGATACGACAATAGGAGTGTAATTGCAAGACATATAAGCAAGGCATCAGCTAATGTTGGTTCCGATGGGGAGTTTTTGAAGGGGTAAATTAGGGACAATGAATAAAATAAAGAGGGCAGCTTGGAGTACGAAATTCTCACCACTGTGGGGATTTGGTGATGCTCGGAGCCTTATCCCCATGTGGAGAGGTTATTTCCATGATTTTGATCAATAACACCGGTCACAGACTCACAATGGATATATATTAACAAAAAACTACAGTATGCTTTGAGATAGCTTTCTTTTGCTAGCTTAAGAAGTATGTACTTATTAGATCAGATTAAGGAAGCTACAGTTACTTATAGATCAGGAAACATATTTTAACACAACAAAGAAAAAAAATCTGATTCACCACCACGGGCCAAGCCCTGGTGGCTACAGATGGTCTCCAAGAGGCTCACTCTCTCCTCTCCATCTGATTCAAGCTAATTAAAATGAAAGAGCTTCATTCTAACTCTAGCCATTCTAAACCACCAATTGCTTAGCTGAGTTCAACCTTTTTTTTGTACACGATTTTCGGTGTATAATTTTGAAAAATTTCTGAAAATTGCAAGATTTCTTGTCAGTTTTAACCATAATGAAATCTGGGTAGAAGGGGAAATACAATAGTAACAACTGCTACACGTAGATCAAGATTATGGTGTACACATACACATACAGAGAGATTGAAAAAAAAACCCTAATCGGCATAGCAATGAAATACATAAAGAGGTGGTGTGAGAGAGAAGAACCTGAACGGAGGTTTCTGGAGGTGAGATGACGAGTTTGAGAACGAACCAAGTGAAGAAGAGCCCCTCTTGCCATTTCTGAAATTTTGAGTCTGAGATCGTTAGGGTTTAATTCTCTGGGAGGGTTTTGTTGTCCTATTCAAAAATACAATTTGAATAAAAGAAGGGGAGTTGGGTGTCACACGTGGGCATTTGGTCTAGTGGTACGATTCGCCCTTAGGGTGCGAGAGGTCCCGAGTTCAATTCTCGGAATACCCCCAAGCATTTTGTCATTTTATAATTTCTGCCATAAGGCCTCTCAATGGATACGAATTTATTATCTTATATTTTATAAATTTGAATAACAATCACGAAAATATAATTGAGTTTTTTATTAGCCAATCCATTATAATGGAGTTTTGGACCAATAAAGACAAGGAGTAAACAATTGGGTCATTAAGGACAAAGTACCAAAGAAAGGGGAAAATTGAAGAAGGTATATCAAATTAGAGTTAATTGTAAAAAAATATACAGAAAAAAAAAATAGAGTAAAGAAATTATTAAGTTTGATACTTATTTGTGACCAAGTACATTATTTGAAATTTTCAGTTTTTTTGTGTGGTATTTTTGTCCTTAATCCATGTGTATTTTTTTTTTAAAAATAATTTTGATTTGAAAATTATATTTATGCGTTAAATATCTCCTAATTTTTTGAGAGAACTTTAATATTTTGTACATTTATGTCATCCCTTGATTCATACGTTTTTTTTTTTTTTTTGAAAAGTGGTTTATTTTTAAATTATATTTATGCATTAAATATCTCATAATTTTCTGGGAGAATTTTAATATTCCGCACATTTATGTCATTCCTTGATTCATGCTTTTTTTTTTTTTTGAAAAGTGGTTTATTTTCAAATTATATTTATGTATTAAATATCTCCTAGTTTTATGAGAGAACTTTAATATTTCGTTTATTTTAAGATATATTACTTTGTTTGAATTTCAAAGTTTGTTAATATGCGAACACTATAATAGTGTGACAAAACATTTACACAAAATAATATACTATTATATTTTGTCAAACATATATTTTCATATAATTTCATTTAAACAGTCAATCTCTATTTTAAATTTGTTACCACATACATAAAACCACTAAACATTGTTTTTGTTACAGCGTATTGTTACACTATTTTTGTTACAACGTATTGTTATACTATGAGGGAAACACAGTCAACAGTTAGGAGATATATATAGTTTATTCACACACAATGAATTAATATGGCAAACACACGTAGCAGAAACATTGTATTTCACATAGGGCAACGATCAATTTTCAACAACTGATTTTGGTCATCAAATGCCGAAATTTGTACATATCTTCCAATGACAAACAAATCTTCAAAAAATATATAATATTAACGATCTTTACATCAAATGGGCTAAATAGTAGAATTTTTCTTTCAAAGACGAAACCCTATAGATGTTTATGGAACAATTTTAGGGCTTATCGCTGCGGAAGAAGAAGTAATTTTTAGAAAAGAAGAAAAAGTCTAAACGTTTTTCAAAGATGAAGCGCTTCGCAAGTAAATTTCAGCCTATCTAATTAATTAATTAAGATATATTATTGAAACCATTTTAGGAAAGTAAATTTTAAAAAGAAGAGATAAAGAGATTTCAAATTAAATAACCCTAAATTTTAACGCCAAAAATAAATGTCTTGTTACATTTTTTAGGAAGTAAAATTTTACAAAATGGGATTTTTGTATCTCAACAGTATACTTTTTTCAAAATATTTTTTTTGTGTATTTTTTTATAATTATTTCTAATTTAGTGTATCAACTTCCAAATGACCCAAAAAAAAAGACATAATTGGCCTTCTCAATACAATTCATTGCTATTTCTAAAACTTTAATGGAATTTTTGATAAAACAGAATTAAAGGTGTCACCAATCACTGGAATCATGCTTAAAATTCAAAAATAAAAAAAAATCAATTGCCATTTCAAACTAAGAAATCAAAATCATTAACAAACTATCTCGGAAGATCATTCAAAACAAGAAACATATCTCTAGTGAAAGGGTTGTCACTATGACGAATATCTTTTATCATGAAGAAAGAAAGAGTTTCAAATCAAATTCAAGCCGATACTATGAAAGTAATGAACAAGTTAGATTTAATGTTTCTACGATTTTTAGATTTGTAAAAAAACATAAAAAAATCACAAACCTGGCACTGTAATTTTGATCTTTCTAATTATCAAGGGTTTCGTACCAATACATTAGCATTAAAAACAGGAATTTCGTTAAAATCTTACAAAGAATATCTGTTTATTATGTCTAAAAATGCAACAAATTTATGAATTAATATTGTCACTGTGTTGTATATCTTGTTCGTAATTCAGAGACAATTATTAATTTTTTGTTTTTTGTTGTCTAATTATGTCATAGTAAAGATGTTTTTATGATATTTTGTGAATATGTTACATCAAAGATAAATCAAATAGCATCAATTACTTTGTTGTCACTATGAATTTGAACTACCACTGTGAATATTTATCACGCGTGTCGTATTGACATACTGTTATTGTGACAATATTTGTTAATAAAACACAAAAATTGCATTATGTTAATTATATGTTTTTTGTGCTTTAATAAACTAAAATTTTAATGTGTCACTAAGACATAAGTTTTTTTTTTTTTTTGAATTTTTGCACTTACAACGACTACTACTGTGCAAATCCTTCCTAATGAAATGTTTGAGAAGGTTTTTCAAAGAGGAAAAATGTGTAAAAAGTTATTTAAAAGAAAAGGATAAATAAAAGACTAAAAAAAAAGACATAAATTATAATTTCGAGCAACACACGGGGCAGGCCTTTAGTTCTCCTCTATTGAAAAGTTGGAAGGAATCAAGTTGGAAAGAAGGGGGTGAGAGTGATCATCACTATTGAAGTTTGATCGTTGAATTTGCAATTCACAGATTTATTGATTTTGTGCTGGTTATCATGATTTAATTTCAAAGAATTTGTACCAATGATATTTTTTATTTTATGAAGATTTTATCTTGTTGAGGTCAAAGGTTCAAATTTCCTTTCTTTTCTCTCCCCCAAAAAATTAAAAAAAAAATATTTCAAAGAAACTGTAAAAGATCAAATTGGTCAGTGTCCTTGAGGGCGATACTGTTTGCTTTTCTACTGCGTCAGCCAAAGTGTCACCAAATTAATAAAGAAACAGGTTAATCTTAAATTGCATTTTGGAGGATGGTTCGAATTTTAATTTGTACTTTCAAAAATTAAAAATTTTAATTTACATATTTAAATATAAGAATTTGTATCAATACGCACCTCAAACTGACAATAGTCAGTTTGCAGTCTAAAACTAAATTGATAAATTACACCTAAACTCTTTCATACTTGTTATTTTATCACCTAGACCTCTCATACTTGAAATATTATATCTACATTTCTTTAGAATTCAAATGTGGCTAAAAATATTCCTCAAATTAGGCATCTAAATAATTTTATTTAAGTAATTAATTGTATTGAATATAAATAAAATTATATAAATACTTGCATTATATTGAACATTCAAATGATAAGTTTGATTTTAAACTTTAGAGTATAATAAGCTGACAAAATAAAGGGATGTATACAAATTACAATTTTTTATTAGGATGAAATCATATTTTTTAATGGTTATATTAACAGATATTGATGATAAGAGGTTATGCGTTACGTGTGCACAATCATAAGGAGGTGTAGGAGTAATATTTTAAATATAAGAGGGTCCAAATGATTAAGTGACAAGTATGAGGAAATTTAGATATAATTGATCTATTTAGTTTTAGACGGTAAACCGACGGCTGTTAGTTTCAGGTGTGTATTAATAAAAATTTCAATTTTTGAAGGTGTAAATTAAAATTTTTAATTTTTAAAAATATAAATTCAAATTCAAATAATCTTTCAAGATTTAATTTGCGATTAATCCTAAAAGAAACAGATTCAAGACACTGGTCACATATATTCTCTCATCCAGCAAAGATTAATAACTCAGTTTTTTTTTTGGGACTTGAACTCTTGATTTCAAAAAAATAAATCTTTTACAAGATGAGAAATACTATTAGATTAAAGATCCATCGATAATTAATAACTCAGTACGGTAGCTGTTCACACGCAATGAATGCCCGTTTCATTCCATGGATCAAATTTTTGACAAAGTCAAATAATTGATCCAAGAAACATAGAAATATAAAATATTAATTTAAGACCAAATTCTCATCAAACATCCAACTACTTTCAAGAAAGGTCCTTGCACTCCAGAACAAGTACAAGGGCTCATCAAACATCTCTCTCTCTCTCTCTCGTCAAACATATTAAGGATTCTTGTGACTTTTTTGGTCTTAATCAATATTATTTGAATTGTGAGTCGCTTTAGTATGGGACATAGATACGGATATATGGTATAACTATTCTTAGAATACGTGGTATGATGAGGATAAGTTTAATTGATACGATATTTTAGATCACAATTCGTTTTGAAAAATTTAACTGGTACGATATTTTGGATTGTAATTTGTTTTAGAACTTTTATGTAGATTGTTTTTATTATTATACAACATTATATATTACAAAACATTCATAAATACTAAGTTACTTATCATTTATCTTATAATTGTGCTTGATTTTTTATTTTCTAAAACAATATATAATTATAAATTTATATACATGTAGTCAATTAATATGTATTTTATATTTGTGTTACATGTTCTAAAGCGAATTGATTTAGAGTTAGTATTGTAATTTGATATCGTCAATTTTGGTGATTTGGGTCACGAACCCACTATATTTCAGATCGATATATCTAGATTGTAGTTCGTTAAAGTTTAATGAATTGTTGTAACCATGGTCTTAATAGGTCTGATATCAAGAGAGGGAAGTTCTCTCAAGATGAAGGACAAACACTGCTGCATCTCCATTCCATCCGGCAACAACTAAATGATCTTCCCCCCTCTCTTTCTCTCTCGGAAGTATATGATTTTTTGTTGTGGTATAAATATTTAAATTATATTATTTCTAGCAACTTAAGCTTTCAAAGTTTGATGGTGGTTTTACGTTTCTTCTCGAACCATATATACTGCTTGAAGATAAGGCAAAATTGACTTACTTCTTAAAGGCCAAATTCAAACTTTTTTCGCAAGAAACATATACAGAAACTAGTTGCGGGCATTAAACTTATATCTACATCACACCCATATGCTTATTCATGAAAACAAAAGGTTTGGCCTCGTCTTTTGATATCCATGCACCATCCAGCCACAGAATTTTACACAGTGGAACTTTTACAGAGTTTCCCAGACTATGTACTGACCTCCATGCAATTCCAGGCCAGCCTGAACGGCAAAAATATTCTCATTCTCATTCCCTGAGTGATAAATCCTTAGCAACTCACCAGTTCGAAGACCCTTTGTCAATGCAAAAGTGCGCCAGTCACGAGTCAAAGAGCGCCTTCCATCTGCCCGCACCGAGGCTATGAATTCATATGTGATTCCGTCCCGGTCAATTACACTCATGATTTCATTTCCTTCTAGCAAATATTCTGCAGCGTTTGGTATTTCCAGGTTGCCTTTGACATCCCTATCCGACAGATATTTTTCAAAGCACACATATTGGGGCTCCATTTCTCCAAACCCTGAAAGAAAAGAAGATGGATTAGTATCAATGTAGACATTACGGGATAGAATATAAGAGAATGAGAGAAATAGACTTCATTTATGTTTTGTTTGAGTATGAGAAAGACTAGCTAGAGAGAATATACTAGTCCTAGTTAGGCCACTTAGGAAACAGAAACTTCGAGAATCAAGAAAAGAAGAATCAATTGGAATGGAGAGGGAGAGAGAGATTGACTTCACACATGGACAGAGATTTTAAGAGATAAAATAGGGAACTACTGACCAGAGATTGAGTCTCTTGAGGAAGAGAAGGATGGAAATGGCAAGAGAGGTTTGTGAGAGTGGTAAGAGGCCAAGACGGGGAGGAAGAGACAAGAGGATGAGAGAGAGAGAGAGATGGGAAACCCTTGAAGCTGTGAAATTTTATTTATAGCATGCACTACCAACTGCCTCTCTCCACCTTTAACATTCCTGACAAAAATCATCAAATAATGTACATTTCGCTTTGTAAGAATGATCAATGGCCTTTAACCTTCAATTTCAATCTCAATCTCAATTTGACGAATTTCACAGCCAGTGAGTGGCTATGACTTTTGAGAGGCAGAACCTCCTTCAGTCCTTCCACCGTCACACATCATAGAGAAGAAAAGTATAGTCTGGTTTTTTTTTTTTTTTGGTGCTTAGCAAGCTTAGTCTTCTAAAATCCAAAAGAAGATATGGTTGAGAAGCAATCACATCAGTCAGTGAGTGAGAGAGAGAGAGAGTATGAGAGATTGGAGTTGGTGAAAAGCCTATAGCTAGCTGGATTTGCCAACCCAACGTTGGACAGTGGCTACTATACTTTGGACCATTTTCAATGTCATGTGACCTTGTTTCAATGTCTTCGAATACTTTCGTAACGAAGCTTTCAACATGATTGAAAAAACTTTGGTTGATCGGGGAGGATGCCAAGCTTTGGCCCACTAAAAATGCATGGAAATAGTGTTTAAAATCGCCTTGTCACTATCTCTACCACCACCACCCCTACCTCTACCTTCGTCGCTGCCCCCACCGCCACTACCATCATCATTGCCGTCACCGCCACCACCACCACCATTGTCGCCGCCCCCACCACCACTATCGCTGCCACCAATGCCTCCACCACTTCTGCCGTAGCCACCACCTCTCCCATACCGCCGCCATAACCATCACCGCCACCACCACCACTGCCATCATTGTCATCACCGCCACCGCCGCCACCACCACCCTCACATTGTCGCTGCCGCCATTACCACCATCGTCGTCGCCCTCATTGTCACCACCGCCACCATGGTTATTGTCATTCACCACAACCACCACCGTCTCCTATCACCATCACTGTCGCCCACCATCTCTCATCTCCACTACAAATCGATGCTTAAATTCATTTATATCTTCTCTATATTTGTTATTTGATTTTGGATATGAATACAAATATATTTATTGTTTACCATTTGTTATTACTCTGTACCTTCAACTACAAAAACAATAACTAGTAATTCAATAAATATTATCTATTTATATACAAGTTAAATATTGAGCCTAATAGTAATGTAACTTCTCTTACACATCGTGCCACAATCCAACACAAGACAACACATGTGCATGTACATATATAACTAACACAATCAAAAAACTGTGACACCTATGTGTAGGGTGCATTGAGGTTACTCTATGTGCAAGTGATGTTTTGTTATTATATTTTAATACCTTACATTAGTAATAACATAGTATAATCGTGATAGTAAATATTTACTATTACAAATGGTATACAATGCACATATAGTGCCTTAGTGTTGTGTCATGATACCAATCGTCAATACTAATATGGTACAATGTATATATAGTGTCTTATTGCTGGGTCATGATACCAAGTGTCGATGCTAATATGGTATCAGTATTGTATTGAATAGTAACTCATCGACTAGGTAAAAAAATTTGTTGTTGCTTCACCTAAAAATAAAAACTATATTAGACCCAAGTTAGGGGAATAATTAACTAAGAATAATATTTTGTGGCATGGTTAACTATATTTTTTTAAAATTCTTATGGCTTACAACAAAATTTTTAGCATTTTGTTGCATCAAAATCCATCATTTTTTAAGGGTAATTAAAATAGATGTCACTTAAACTATACAACTTGTTTCAATTAAATTTCTAAACTAATTTTTTGTGTCAATTATACCCCTCAACTATGAAATTTGACTCAAGGTTCCTTTTTGATCCATATATGTTTGTTAGTTTAACATAAAATGTTAAATTTATTGTTCACTTGACATAATAGGGGCATTCTACATGAATTTATTCTCTTTTTGTATCAAAATTTTCCTCCCACAAATTTCTATTTAAAGCTTGCACAAAAATTAGATTTTGCTCTGTTTTGAGCTTTGGACAAATAGCAATGCTACTATGATTAGATGATTAGATTTGGGAACCAAATTTAAAGCCCCAAATGATGTGACATCCTCTTTTTTCCCAACAAGTAAGGGGCTCAGTAATACATCATTGGTTGTACCGGTTTGCCACATCATTTGAGCTCCAAATTCAGTTCCCAAATTTAGTCACTTTAGCATTCTAATCAACCGTGTTATATTTATCACACCTTTTTGTACCACTTCAATGTGAACCATTAAATTAGTGAGTTCTATTGACTTTATTAAATATTCATGGCTAAGATTATACTACATCAGATGGTGCAAATGAAGTGATGCACAAAGATGCTGTATATATCATGATTGCATTTCTATTCGACAAAAGCTCTTATAATTTATGTGTTCTTTGCACGTTTTCGTAATTTTCCATTGACTTGGGAACAATAAAGCACGAATACTATAATTTCTTCTTATAATTCTGTTATTTTTTTCTTTCTACTTCTGATAAGACGTAAGATAAATTATATAATCGAGCCTACGGGAAAGTTGTTGTTTCGAATGCCAAACTAAATTAAAAAACAAGACTTTCTTTTCTTATAGTCGAGGAAAGAAGTTGGGAGTTGATATTGACCCAATTCTTTCATTCCAAAGAGTATTTATTCAACTTTATTGTGGCCAGTATTGGGGTCAACCAAGGACCTGGACAATCCACTAAGTAAATTGTGTCATTAGCAACATAACACCTAGTTTGTACTAGCTTGATTTGCCTTATGAGGCTGCCAAGTAGAAACAATAGCCTAGGCCCAACAACCAAATATAGAAAGCTAAATTTATAAGAAAACTTTAGCGACCTTGAATCAAAAAATACCCTACCCAAATGTGGGTGTAAATGCTGACAAACCACCCTTAGATAATGAGTCACATACACAAGCGGATCACCTTGTATGCTTTAGGTAAGTATTGCATTAATCAAAAGAAACATGTGTACAAATATATCACCCATACAAATGTCTCACGGGACTAGCTAAAAAGATTATTGGTGTTAAAACAAACTATATACCTGATGAGACATTTTCAGACACTCTCAGATGATAACACGTGTACTCGGCGTCAATGGAGACTCTCCGCTGTGATCCCGACACGTGCTCATCGGTCCATAATCTCCTTCCCCGAGGGTACTATTCGCAGGGATCAAGGATCCCCAATACGCCATGGACCGACACGTATTCCTCGGTCAGTTTGGGCACATCGGTCCCTAATTATGCTAGTCCCTCAGCACCGAGGTGTATCTGTCCACGAGGCCTTTCTGCTCCTACAGGGGCTATTAATTGCCAGGTTACTAGCCTAGGCTAGGCTAGACTAGTCATCACAACATCGTGCTACTCAAATGGTGTCAGGAGGCACAAGAAAGCAGAAGGCTCAACCAAAGGGAAATAAGCACGTGACATATTGTGTCAGGTCAGAGACGAAAAAATCAGAATGTCCTTGTTGACACACGGCTTAGGAGGTCAGGCATTTAATGCATTTTTCACTCGATGAGACAGTATTTAATGCGTAAGAGTCTGGAAGTGAAAGGTAATAAATGTTTCTATGCCTAGGCATTTAATATATCCCTGCCGAGAGAAGGTCATTAAACACTCGGCAGACCGAGGAGAAAACATTGGTTGTTCGGGGTCCCGAACAGTTAAGAATGAGGACATTTCTCATAAAATTAGCGTGCACACTACCCATCTCTAATGATTACCTACTAGCTACACTGTCAGCAATAATGAGTTTTGTAAGGTATAAATAGTCCTCACAAACACATCAAAAAGGTATGCAAAAAACCCTTTCTGAAGGAGCATATAGTATTTTCTTCTTCTCCTCTCTTAAAAAACTAACTTGACCATCGGAGGGGATACATCGAAAAACACTCCGGCGCCCTTCTAACCTATTTTTCTCTGTTCCAGGAACCTCCCACAGCCTCTTAGGACCAGTCAGGCGACCCCTAAAAACAATTCATTACCACTTCATAGGTCACCTTCGACCCTCACAACCTATTCTAAGTAGCAAGATTGACCACTCGACTGACAAAGTCGTATTCATCACGGAAGAGATATGTTCTTGTGTTTATATTGTGCAAGATTGTGCACGCACAATCTGGAGCCGTCTGTGGGAAACGACTAATTTTCCTAGTTTCTTTTCTAGAAAGAACAATGACCATGGTGAATACTCGACAGAAAGGGAAAGGTCCCCAGCAAAAAAGTCTCAAGTTATAAGCTCCTCATCATGAGGGGGGAGGGACCACGCTGGTGACAACGGGAACATTTCTATTCAGTCAATGGGGCATACTCCTCAAACCAGTATGGGTATTGGGTCAGGAGGATCCGCCCCCTTGGCTCGTCAGCTAGCAGAAGTGATCGAAGAAAAGTTTGGGGATCGACTGCGACAGTTAGAAAAAGATAATGTGAATGTCCTAAGCCAGCTCAACGAATTTGTAGCACCCCAGCGAAGGATCGAGGGACTCATTCCATTCCCACAGACGCTCCATCTGGGAAGCAGAAATCGAGGACCTGAGAAATCATTTAAACAACAAAGCTGAGAGTTCCAGGGTCCCAAAGTGCCTGAGAGCCAATGAGCAGCCCCTTGATGGTCATTCCAGGAAGGCAAGACCTTTGGCTTGGGACGACCTTCGGCGAGGACTGTCAAGGCGGGGGAAGGGGGATGAGTC